TTTTTATAACGGTAATAATAATGTTGGGAAAATCGCTTTTAAAAAATAACTTGTTACTTCTATGCGATACTTTATAAATATGATTTATCTGATTCTGATATAAAAAAGAAATTGAATAAACTTTCATTTTTATGATTGTGCATTTTATGTTTAATATAAAAGTATGTATAAATAATATAAATAAATTGTATAAATAATAATAAAATTATTAAGATTAACGAAACCATGAAATGAATACATAAATGCAATACGAGAAGCACCACTTAAGTTAAGCTTCTTTAAGGAAAAGAATCATTGATCATATATTGTAATCCATGTAATAGAAATACTACAAAAAACACACAAAAATATTACAGTAACTATTATACGTAAATGTATTAACACGTAAATATTACAGGCAATTGTGTGATATTTTCGCATTGTAATCGGCGGATTACAGAAAAAGTAGTAAATGTATTATAAGACAAATATTCAGGCTATAAACTATTGCAGGTCGAATAGTACACAGATAGTAATGTTATATAACTATGTGTATATATATTAGTGCGGGAACTAAAAAAAAATCACAATGTTTTTCCAGGTGATCTCCCCTTTCTAATGTCATTTAACTTTTGTTATTATCACTTTCCAAGCTATATAAATTTTCAGCTAGTATTGCTTTCTGCGAGTGGTTATCCATCCATCCTGCAACCATGCCCAACGTTGCTTAACTCTTAAGATCGTATATGACAACTCGCGATCCCTCAATATTTCTCGTTTATAGAAATGTAATCATGCTAGATCAGTTCAATAGATGTTGTCAAATAGAAACATGTATAGTTAAAATATATTTTTTAAAAATAAAATTATAGTTCTTCTATACTTATTTTTACATATACGCGGCGGGACGTTACAATTTAAAAATTAATGTATTCATGAATGTGTAATCTTCCTATTATAGTAATTTACTTACTATATTATATAATATAATTTTTGTATTATATTATAATAATTATACAATGTAATCCACACTGTAATATTATTGGCGTGTAATCCTACTACAAAAATTTACTGATTGAATATTTGTATCACAGTAACTACATGCATGTGATCCGTTGTATGTAGTAATTTCGCGCGAGAGTATAGTAATCGTACGGATTACAGTAATTTTTCTGATGTTAAACTAATACATATATGTATTTAAATGAATTTATTTCAGAAATATATCTCGGCCAAAGTAATTTATTAATGGTTAATTGAGAAAATTGATGTGATGTCTTACTAATCATCTTGGTCGTCCTGCAAGGAGTCTTGTCGACATGTTGGAATAAGATTTGTGCCAGGACCACCAGGTCCTCGACGGTATCTTGGTGGACGGAAAGCGAACCTCCTGGCGTCAATGTCGACGTCGGTCGGAGTACTTACAGGAAATCTTGCTGATATTGGATCGACACCAACCTGTTCTTCCTGAAAATGAAGGGGCGCAAGTTAGGATCGTATGTCAGTCCAATATAAATTGCCGTACGTAGTTAGTTAAATAATAATTATATATAATTACAATAAAAATATTAAAATTGTAAAATCTAATATAATAAATTAAAAAATATTTCTGTATAAAAGAAAATACAATTTTTTTCGCAACTATTTGGAAATCGTTTTCTTCTACATCTTTTTATGTATTTTTCTTCGTGGAAAATTATTGTAATAATTGTAAAGACACTATACTCAAGAAAAAATGTACATTGAAATAAGGAATGAAATCCTTAGTCATATCGTTACGAAATTGATGTCAATTATGCTTCAATCAAAAACTAATTCAGAATTGTTCATATTTCAATGTATCAATTTTTCCTTGATTGTAAACGTAGCATCATTATTATAATTTTCGAATTCCATGGAGAAAAATACGTAAGAAAATGTAGAAAATGTAGAAATAACGATTTTTAACAACAAACGCGAAAAAGTGAAGTTGTATCTTCCTTTTATCATAATAATAAAATTTAAAGTAAGAGAGAGAGGAAGAATTGAATTTATATTAAATTGAAAAATTGCGCGCATAGAAAGCCAGAAATAGTACTCACGTCTCGCATGATAAAAGTAATCTCAAGATTCTGGCTGAAATGGTTGGAGAATTCCGGATAAAGAGCTAAGACGTCGAGCAGGTCATCCCGATGGATCTTGTGAAGGTCACAATATGTAAGGGCGCGAACGTTACAAGATGACTTTCCGACCGTCGGATAAATGCATGGATTCTCGCCGAAAATGTCATCCTTGCCCAAAATGGCCATCACGACGTCCTCCTTCAGAATCTCGATACTGCCGCGAGATATAAAGTATAGGGAAGTCAGCACATCCCCTCGATGAACTAAAGTATCACCCGGAGGCGCGTGTGTCGTCTTAAACTTTAAGGATAATGCCCTGTTTTGCAAAAAAAACAAGAAAATTTCTTATTTTTTTGAATTAATTATACAATGTAAAAGATAATCATTTTTATATACAAAAAGTAATAAAAATAAAATGTTGTTAATATTTTTGAGACTTCCACACAGATATTTTCTTCAATAAAGCTATATATACACGATTTGCGAATTATCCCTATGTTTTGATACATTGTTAAATGCTAACATTTCGTGACTGAAATTCATTTTATCAAGTAATCTTCTTTAAATAAAATATTATTTTACACGAGTTTAAGGGGATATTTTACATTGAAAAAGATTATATAAATTATATAATTTTCTTATAAGAATTATTTTTAAAAAGAAATAGGTTACTACACTTTATTATGAAACTTTTGTAGACTTGTTCAGGATCATTGGATAACATTTGTCAAGATCAAAGCCATTGGAGATTGTATTTCTTATTTTCATTTATATCAAAATAATTGGAGCTTATCCTGCAAAGATAAAAGTGGTGACAGATGAAACACCGATATAGTTTGATTTTTAATTTGTCTTGTGTGCCTTTTTTATAATATACCATATGGATACGAACAAATATTTTTAAACATTTTATTTTGTACGTAAATAAAGTCTAAGAAAGTTTTATATTATTATAATATATTAACTTATGTTATTTTAAGAAATTCGTTAGTTTACTACAAATAAGAATACCTCCTTAAAATAATTCTATCAGATTTTCTCATTTTCGGTGCAAATTAGGGGATAAGTACCTTAAACAGCCTTGACTGGCTCCCTCGAAGGCTCGGCAATTGCTTAAAAGATTTCTATTGAGATGAAGACAGATGTCGGCCTGAAGGCACTCGGGGAATCCTTTCAGAACACTGTTCATATCAATTCCATTCGTATAAGTCCACGCGTGTTGAAAGTACTCTTCCAATCGTTGGCGGAGCGGGTTCGGGATCTGATGGAACCTTATGAATTCCCTGACCCTGAGCATCTGTGTGTGATACCGGGCGGTACCGCTATATAGCCTCTGGATGATCGCCGATACGTTACCGAAGATACTAGCATACATCAGAGCTAAAATCGATGTATCATAAAATAAATCGTGTATCCGGTATATCTAACAATGGACTAAGATATTTTAATTTCTTTCTAGGGAAAAATCAATGGTAGCATTATTTATTCAAGACTTTATTTAATTTTAAAATCTGAAAATCTAGAATATTATAAAAAAACATTTCACCTTAACACTTTGCTACAAAATATTTATTGTTCTAATATTATATTTACTTTTATTATGTTAGGTCGAGAAATCAGGAAGTAAAATGGATTTATTTATTCCCCGCATACATGTTAGCAAAATACAGGTTGTAAAATAAGATACTTCGGAATCGAGCTTCCCATGCTTCCACTAAAACATGAAAAAAATTTCATATGCAAATCCACTGTTACTAAAATATGACTTAATAATAAAATGTTTGTAGATTTAGTTGCATGACTTTTATGATCCCCCGATCTAAATTCTCTAGATTTTTATTTGTGGGCACATTTAAAGTCCTTTTTATGAAATTTCAATCTATTGCTAATGAAGATATGCTACGTCAATGCATTTTTTATGCTTGTGGCACCATTCGCAATTACTTCGAGATCTTTAAAAAAGTGCGACAGTCCATGATCCGATATGTCCAAACGTGTACTGAATCAAATGGGTGACACTTCGAACATTTATTATAATTGAAAATTGGAAATAAGTAATATTATATATTAATAAATATTACTTTTTTTATTTTCCTCTATTAATAAACATTTTGAAATCTCACAATTGATATCTCACAATCAGTGAATTTGCGGAACATATGTTCATATTCTTCTTTTCATGTTTTAGTGTGGGGAATCGGCCTCAAAATTTGTTATCTTGTTTTAGTTATACTATACCCTAGATACAGGATGTTTGGAAATAATCGCTAAATATTTCATGGACAGGTAGAGCAAAGTAAACTGAGTCGAAAAGTCCTCTATCATTTTGTAAGTTTCCTCAATAATGAGATATTAATCCTTAAATAGCCGAATACTATTGCGAAGCGTATACGCCTACCGCCTGGAGATAGCCTGGCAAGCGCGCCGTGCGAGTTATGGAAGCTTACGGCGATGTGCGCGGTGCGGAGCGTTTGCCAGCCAATCCTCAACTCCCAAGATCCGCGCGCCAAGCGATCGGTAGGCATATACATTTCGCAGTAGTAGACTGGGCAAGCGCGCGTATTCGGCTATCTTTAAGGATTAATATCTCATTAATTATGGAGAAATTTACAAAATAGTAGAGGATTTTTCGACTCAGTTTAGTCCGCTCTATTTGCCTATGAAATATTTGGCGATTATTTCCAGACACTCTGTATATGTATATTTCTTAATGTAATCGCCCAGTTATGTGATATTTTGTACAATGATTCACATTTCTTTTATTTTCGTCATTATGCGAAGGTTTTAGCTGCCACGTAGGGGAAACCAGGACGGATTATTCTAAGAGATTGATTGTCAAAATGCTTATAACTCGATCAGTAATATAAAAATCTCTTTTTTTTACTATTGATTGCTGATATAGTATTAAATATTAAATATGTTGTATAAAAGATTTTATACCAAAAACATGTACAATATATTTAGATTTACAATATATTTAGATTTAAAAAAAAATGAAATCATAGTGAATAAATTTTTCTTATTTCCTATTATGTTTGATAAGATTTTAGTATTATCAATTTCTCAATTTCTTTGTAATCATAGAAAATGACATATTTTAAAAAATTTTTGCTTTCACATCGTTATGAATGATAAAATCGTCGTGAATAATAAAACTTAACTAGCAGAACTCTTTTGCTAAAAATGTTCATTGGACGATTATATGGTTGTTCAAAATGAACTGAGATCGTAGTTTTAATTAAAATGAAATAATTTATTTGTACGATGATTCAAAAGCAATATTTTTTTTAATACTTACTTAAGGCATGTAGGTATGTTATAACGTATATAGTATTTCAAAATTTTACATCTACTTTTTTCTAAAATTCATTATTCAAAAACTGTGACAACCAGCATCGGTCTCTCCGCTTCCTAAACTCTAAGATATTGGAATTTATTATTGACTATTGATCATGAAACGCTTTCTTCAATGAATCAAATAAATAGAAATCAGAGATAGTAAGGTCAAGATTAAAGACTGGATGTTGACAGAAGTTTAAATTTCAGCTATTTTTTATTACTAGAAGAGGATACACCGATTTTAATCAAACTTGGTAAGGATAGTGTATACCCGATGTAAGCCAAGCAAAAGACTACATAGAGAGAAAATAACTAAAAATTTAACAAATATTTATTTGAATAGTACCAACTAAACATTTACTTACAGTAAATAAATATTTAATAAATACTCACACAATAAAAAAATGACATTTAAAATAAAATTAATGGTTTTTGCCATATAAATATATATTTATTTGTATAAATATATATTTATTTGATATTATTTGATTTATTAATATAAATAAATATATATATATATATATTTATATTATTAAGTATTTAGTTGATACTATTCAAATAAACGATTTATTAAAAATTAGCATATTTTTTAGTATATAGCACAAAATACATAAGCATAGCATAACTAGCACAAGATTGTATGAACCAATGAGCGTATTATGTAAATTAAAAGATTTGTAAAACGTAAACAAAATGTGTAACGTTAAGCTGGACGATTATATTGAGAAATAATATTGTATATATTTTACTAATGTGTACTATACATGAAAAATAAATAATTTATTTTACATTCTGATTTTTCCTCATAATTTAATTAGTATACGTTATATAATTATTATCTCATTTCTTTAATATTGTTATTTGTAATAAGAAGACTAAATATGTGTGTGTCTATAAGCGATACAGAATATTCATTGACTCACATCCGATCAACATAACGATTATTGTAAAAATTTTTTCGGCGTCAGTATTCGGTGCTACATTTCCGAAGCCTACGGACGTGAGACTGCTGAAGGTGAAATAAAGCGCCGTGATATAACGACTCTGGAAAAATTACAGAATTATATGTTGGGTAAAAGAGTACCGCCATTAAGGACTACGATCTCAAATAGAGCGTACTCGAAAGATACTTGCGCGGATGGCTTACTTTTATGCTCGGCCCACCGGTGTTATTGTGAAAGTAAAACTGATGAGTATCGTTGGCTAGAATGTCGAGCCAACCAACCTTGCTCTTCAAAGTCGGTCTCTCGGCATTTCCTATGGCATACCTTTAAAAAGCGCGAAATATCGGGGTAATGCATTGCATCCAGAGCAATATTTTAAAATGTACGGTATATAATTTGAATCACAAAATCTTCTGATAACAAATTTGCGATAAAAGGAGGTGGATTGCCCACATAGTTTTAGTTAAGATAAAGTTAACTTTAATTCGATTGAAGAGGTACACTACAGTAACTACACTTTAAAGAGATCAATTTTTTTATATTTTCCACAAGATTAATATTGTCCAAACAACTTATAGATATATATGTGTATGTTATTAAATACTAATTTTTCATAAAATAATCGATATTAAAACTTTGAACATGTTTTTTTAAATAATTGTTTTCAAGTGGCGACATCTACCTATAATTCAAACAATTTTCGATTGATTGATTTCAATTGATTTTTAAAAGAGCAGCTTCACAAAATAAATAGTTTCAATAAAAATTAAGCGCAGTTTTTTTTAATTCTTTCTTTCTGAGGACGAATATTTTAAATGATCAAAATGTAGTGAAATTTTAAAGTTTCTTTTTCAAATCGTTGCCTTATTGTGGAAAAAATTATTAAAACAAAATTCCTACGCTTAATTGAAATTACATTCGTATAATTTTTCAGAAATTTTCAAGAATTTTTCATTTCACATTACAACTTGAATTTTCTATATCATTAATGAATCGCATGTTTTTTGGACTTGAAATCTAAATTCCG